TATAATACCCCTTTTAAGGTATAAGTTAATATTAACTAACTTAAGTAAAGGATTATAGTTATAACACCTTTAAGGATAATATAAGAAAATAACGTTTAAATGCTGTCTTTTGTAGTGGAACGGTATAATTAGGAGGAATTCAGCTTAAAAAACAGCCTTACCCTAATAATAAAGGAAGAAGAAGATTAAGGATGGTAAAAACACCCCTTACGTGTATAATTATATATAATAAATAAGCTGTTAGAGGAGATCTATTACACGCTTATGGGAAAGGTTTAGCAAATCCGTTAAGATTAGGGAATAGTGATAAAAGGGCTGGTGTTAAAACTCCTTACCTAGCACGTTAACCACTTGGAGTATATCTTATAACGATAATTAAAAGGGGTTAGGACCGCTTCCTGGTTTAACCTAAGGGATTAAATAATAATTAAAGAAGCCTAGCGGACCTGGACTTTAGAAATAGGTAAAGTTACGGAACTATTACTAATCTATCCCTAATTCTTAACCTTACTAATATTCCTTTACGATAAAGAACACGAATAGATTCTGTAAATTAACTGTATTCACAACTGCTGTTCAAAGCTAGCATATTTAGGAATAAAAATCCTGTATAACCACTTTCTTACAGTGTTAAAGCCTTAAGAAGTCTTAACAGTGTATAACTATATAAATGCAGAACTTTACAAGGTAGATCCCCTAATTAAAAACAACAGAATAATTATCCTTTAAAACCCTATATTATTAAAATACTGGAACAATTAGTATTTCGCCTATTATTTAGAGAAAAACTACTTTTTATATTAAACAGAGAAGGCACGTTAATAGTAAAAGAGATAGGATCGTTAGGAAAAGTAAAGAAAAGATAATATATGTAAAAATTAAGCTTATATATATATATATAAGAAAAGAACCAGGGAAGTTATACTTAGTTACCTTAAGGAATTCCTTAACTTTAAAGTATTTAACGTTAGTTGGAAACTAAAAATAAGACTTCCGCGATAAAAAAAGTAAATATTATTAATATTACCTTAATTAGCTTTAGTAAAGGGAGTTTTACAGATAAACCTAGTAATAATTTTAAATAAATAAAAAAGACCTGGGAAACGGCTTAGGGCCTTTATAAGGGCCTGTAAGCCTTTAAACCGACAATTAGCGTAAGCCTTGAGAAGAAGATAAGGCATTCGTATATAAAGACGTTGAAGAGAAGTTATAGTAATGATTATGATAGAGAATAACCGCTGATATTTCGTTATTAACATCGATAGAACCGATAATTACGGAAAACCATTTTAAGCCTAAACGGTAATCGACACTAGAAGCATTAATAACCTTATTAATCCCTAATTTGTTAATAAGAAAAAACTTTTAGATAAAGAACTTTTAATACCTATTAACGTCACTTTAAGAGAAAAAATACTATACTATTATAACAGTAGAAAAATCACTTATATTTCGACATTTTTAATTAAGGTAAACAGAGATAAGTAAGAGATCGAATTTAGGATTATACTAGTAAAAGGATTTGATATGATCTTTAGAAAAACTTAGTTAAAGAAGTATAATCCTTGGATGGATTTTGAGGGTGGTTACTTTACAGTTTGGAACTGTAATAATAAGGCCTCGAATCTATACTTAGAATACATAACACGAGAATTTAGGAGAAAAAGAACTGGTATAAAGCACGTTATTTATAGGGTACCCCTTAAAGGAACTAAGCCCTAAAAGCTGACAATACTGTAAATTAGATTCACGATTAACTATAATGGTTTAGAAAAAGAAGGATCCTCTTAGGCTTAAGGCCTAAGGCTAAGAAACTGCGAAATTAAGTGACGACTTAAACATCGACTTAAAGAATATATTAGAAGAATATTAGTATTTTTAACTGTTTAAGAAAAGGATTAAAGAACTACCTAAGTATAGATTATTGGATTACGAAATCAAACTAAAGGAAGGAACACAGCTGAAGTTTTTTAAAACTTATTAGATAAATTTAAAGGAAAAGGAAGTACTTAAAAAGTATATTAATGAAAACCTTAAAAGTGGCTTTATTGTGGAATTCTAATTACTAACAGGATACCTAGTCCTGTTTATCTTTTAAAAGAACGGAAAACTCTATATAGTTATTAATTACCGATCGTTTAACAAAGATATAATTAAAATCGTTACCCCTTACTATTAATCTTTAAGGTTAGGGAACGACTAGTAGGAGTTAACTGGTTTACTAACCTTAACTTCCTTATAAGGTTTAACCATATTCGTATAAAGGAAGGAGATAAGTATAAGATAGCGTTTTACACGCCTTTTAGTTACTACTAATACTAAGTTATGTCTTTTAGATTTATAAACGCTCCTACGTCGTTCCTGAGCATAATTAACCACGTGTCAAAACCCTTCCTTGACAAGTTTATATTTATCTACGTTAACAACGTACTTATTTATTCTCAAACGATTAAAAAACACCGATAATATATACGATAAGTACTAATAGTTTTAGAATAAGCTAAGCTAATAGTAAATTAAAAAAAAGTAAGTTTAATTTATAAAAACTTAATTACTTAAGATTTAAAGTATCCCTTAGGAAAATTAAAATATAACTTGAGAAGGTTAAAGTAGTTTAAAACTGGTTTATACTGACTTTTTAAACCAAAGTGCAGTCCTTTAGATTAGCTAACTTTTACAGATGCTTTATATAAAATTTTACAAAGATTGTTAAACCACTTTATAAATTATGCGGAATAAAAGTCCTTTTTATATAGATATTTTGGTAATAAAAAGTGTTTAATAACTTAAAACAGGCTTTTTTAACAGCATTAGTTTTAGTAATACTGGACTACTTAAAACCATGTAAAGTTAAAACTAACGTGTTAAAATTTACCTTAAGAGGAGAACTTAGCTAGAATTACCTGTACGCTTTCTTATTTAAAGTAATTAGCAGACTAGTGCTGTAATACCTTATTTATAATAAGGAATTAATAGCGATTATTTAATACTTCGCCGAATAAGTATTATACTTAACAGAAACAGAGGAACCAGTTAAAATTCTCTTTAACTATAATAGCCCTAGGTACTTCTTTATTAAGAAACTTGTTCCTTGATAAGTGAGATGGGCAGAACTTTTAGCCTTATTCCACTTTAAGATTTATCACGTTAAAGGAAAAGAAAACAGAAAAACTAACGCTTTAAGTAGAAGAGTAAACCACTACTAGACCTATAAGTATCCTGATTTATTGCTAATGTTTAAAAAGGTGCTTAACAGTGTCTTTAAACACATATTATAAACAACTAAAAACTAGATGCTTAAAAACGTTATATAAATCCGACAAACAGTACTTTAAAAATACTAAATTAATTAGTAATAGGAAGACTTCTAAGCTTGAAGGAGAGACCTTATGCAAAGGCCTTATCTGAATAAAGGTAAGGAGGGACTTTATAATAAATGTAACAATAAGATACCTTATTAGGACTACTTTTACAGGTTAAACTTAAACTGTACGTATTATTAAAACGTTAAGATATTGATAAAAAAGTTACTAAAGGATATAATAAATACGATAAAATTGGTATAACGATAAATTATATATTGATAATCTGAAACTTTAACGTAAATACATCTCTAGTAAACCCATGAAATAAGAATCAGCAGGTATATAAAAAGAGCTAAAACGCATATATAAGCTTAATAAAACTATACCTTCCCAGGAATGAAAAATTAGTCAAAAAGGTCGTTAATAACTATAACACCTGTAATAAAACTAAAGTTAAACGATAGAAACCTTACAGCCTCTTTAAACCTTTTTTAATACTAATAACACTATAAAGTTCGATTTTAATAAACTTCATTATAAGAATCTTGAAATCTAAAGATGTAATAATAAACGTTAGCTATAACTTTATTTAAGTAATTATTAATAAGCTAGTAAAATAAGTATATTTCTTACTACACTGTAAACCATAACAATAAAACAACTTACCTATATATTTAAATAAGAGATTGTGTCTCTTTACACCTTTAGCTAAACAGCATTATCCCTGACAAAGATAAGCTCTTAATCATTCTAGTAAGGATTAATAATAAGAATAAGCGTTAATAGTAAATTTTTAATAGCTTACTTCCTGTAAACTAACAGACAGATTAAATAACTTAACTAAATACTTAAAACATATCTTCAAACTTAGGTTAATTTTAAGTAAAATAACTAGCTCAAGCTGTTACTTATAGTATAAATAGCTTATAACATAGCTGTTATTAAATTAACTAACGTTTCCTTATTCTTCGCGCTGTTTAAACGTAAACTAAAGCTTAAACAGAGACCACTTATTAAAACACTATAAGTAACCATTTATACAGATAAACTTTGAAAATTATATAAACACTTAAGCTTAAGTTCACTTATAATTAAAAAAAATACAACGATAATAAAATATCTAAGGGATTAGATCTTTATAAGGGGGAGTACGTTTACCTTTTTGTATAAAACTTATACTCGACCTGACTTAGTAGGAAACTCGACTTTAAGAAATTCAGACCATATTAAATCGTAAAGAAGATTACCACCTTAAATTATAAACTTAACTTATTAGCTTTAATAAAGGTTTACATTACGGTCTTTTACATCTTACTTCTCGAACTAACATTAAAGAACGTTCTGCTGGAAAGGAAGATTAAGGTAATTTAGGTAGATAAAGAAGATTTTAACATTAAAAAAATTCTAAATTTGTAAATACGGAACGGAAAACTTTATTATCTAATTAACTGGCTTAATTACGGACTAGAGTTTAACTTTTAGGAGCTTATCGAGAACTTAGACTGCCCTGATAAACTTAAAGAATTCCACCGTTAAAATCCAGACCGTTTAAATTTAATAATTAAGAAAAGGATTATATAGCTTAAGGTGTAATAACTAGAAGCCCTGTGATAGCACTAGTAGTTATGTAAAAAAAAAGGGGGGGATTACCTAACCACTTACGATAACTGTTATAACTGTTATAAGTGGTTAAAAAGGACTGTGTGAGATTTAAACTTACGACCTCCCGTTTTAAAAAGCAGGTACGTTAACCACTACGTTAACGAATCATTTTAATACACTTATTAATCGACATGATTATTTATATGGTTACAGTTACCTTAGATGTCTAACCCTTTGTAAATAAATTTTAATTAAACGTGTTTAATAAAGGATTAATTATGGCTTTTAGGCTGGGTTGTGATAGCGGTTTTTAATGGTTCTCCTTTTATGTAACTGTGATTCTAAAGAGTTCGTCGGTATAAGCAGTTAAGGAACACTACTAGTCTTTTAACTAAAGTAATTTAATTAATGTTACGCGCTTTCTTTATCTAGGCATTTCTTCTCCTTAAACACCTTTTAAAGTTCTAATAGGTTATTCCTATAAGTGTTATAAGAAAGATATACCTACCATTTAAAAGTAACGTAGTTATTACACGATTCGCTTTTACTAATAACCATATATTTAAAGTTAAAGTATCTATAACAAAAGTAACGAATTAACATAACGATACTAAAAGTCTAGATAAAAAGGGTGATCTTATAACAGTGTTTTGTGGAGAAAAGTTAAGATTTCTTTTATCTTTTCCTAATCGCGTTAGCAGGTATAATTATGATGTAGGGAAGGCCTACTTAAGGTTTTTTATAGGAAGAAAACAAAGAAAAGAGGGAATCATATAACGACCTGCAGGCCACCTTTATAACTGGCCTAGACTGACATGTCCCTGTAGGTGTTACGGTGTGGAGGGACCGTGTAAACATTAAAGTTTACACGGAGTGTTTATTCGCGTTAAGTAAAGGGAATAACGAACTATTTACTTTGTTTTTTATAATCTTTAAAAATCACGGTAATCACAATAAATAAAAAGTATAAGGTACTTATTAAACCTAATAATATAAATACCATTATCGTGCCTATGATGGAGTAAGGGACCTCTTAGTTCCTCACATTAGCAATTACATTATTCTTAAGTATCACTTAGTGAGATCTATCTGTCAGGGACCTCTGGATCTGCGATCTGCTTAACAGTGTATTAAACCGTAAGAGTTGCGCTAGCCTTTACTCAGTTATCTTGCTCCTCTTCTTCTTGTAGCAATTGGACCTCGTCCGCTACTACGATCTGTGTTTGCCTGACCCACCGTTGGTATCAGGAGCAGGCCGTAACAGTAAAGCGTTTTTTTTATTTTTAGCTAGACTTATTGTCCGTGGATAACTTTAATACTTTACTTTTCTTAGATAAGTTATTTTAAAGGTTTTATATTAAGCTAAAAGGTTATGATTACTGTTAAAAGGGGGGGTTTAAAATAAAAAGTGATTTTTAAATATTTAACAGAGATGATAAGGGAATTTTTCTTATTAGTAAAAACTTTAATTAATAAGTAAAATACTTAACATATTTTTTAATATCTTATTAAGGTTATCCACAGACAGTGAGTCTAGCCTTAAAAAAAATAAAAAAACGCTTTACCCTACGTTATATCCTGTTAAAACAGTTATCGCTATCGCTATCAATCGCTCCCTTGCCGCATGAATACATACAATCCACCATCACGTCAACGCCTCGCCGGCATCGCAAACCTTGACGGCGTCAATGGCGAATGACGCAGACGGATGACGCAGAGCAATAACCTTAACGGCAATCGCAAACCTTCACGGCAATGGCAAACCTTGACGCTGTTGAACTAACCGAGTGCGCGAGCATAAGAGCAGCCGTAATGGCCGCCCTTGCAATTGCACTCGTTCCATCGCACCCAGGGTTGGGAAATTAGTCTTTAGTCATTAGTCATTTGACTGACTAACTAAGACTGACTGACTATTAGTCAGGCCTTTAAGTGACTAATTTAGTCTTAGTCACTAGCCTGACTAACCAAAGTTAGTCTTAGTCAAGCCTGTGACTAATTAATGCCAAGATTAGTCATGACTAAATTAGTCTTATTCAGTCTTAGTCAAGCCAGTGACTACGACTGACTGAATAATTTCCCAACCCTGATCGCACCCATCGAACTGCTCTGTCAATCGTTAAGCCGCACACCCTAAGAAGAAGCATCATTAGCGAAAGATTGCAAAAGGTGAGTTCCAAGCGATCGCTCAATGACAGTAAATTTAAACTATTACTAAGAGAATTTTTAAACGGTTCATTTAAAAGGTAATATTTATAATAAAGTTACAGATATATTTTATTATCTTTCCAGATTTAATAGTTTATTATAAATTGTACATTTTTTTAACGGCTGTAATTATAAAACTTATCATTAATTATACTTTTTATTATGATTTTATGATTTATCTTTTAAAACAGGTATATTAAAGGCCTTAACGTTTATATTTACTATTTATATAATATTGTTTGATAATCTATTAAGTTTACAGTTAAAAACAGTTTATATAAGGTAATTTTAGTTTTTTTTCAACATAAATATTATTAAATATAAATTATAAAAATATTACTATAATTATCTAGCTTTTTATGAAATATTTAAAGTTGTAAAAGTATTTTTTTTTATTTTTTAATGTTTAACTTTTATGTTTAACTAACTTATTACTTTAAAGGTAATAAGCTATAGTTATTTAAAGCATGATTCTTAACGCTTTTCATATCCTAGTTTAAAAGCTGAATATAAATTTAAAATTCTTATTAAAAATAATACCGTTAAGTATTTTTTTAATAATTTAAAAACAGATACTACATAATATAAATCCTTAATCTTGAATAATACAAGTATTATAATCCCCTACAGGACTTATATCATTCTATAAGACCTATTAAACACAACAGGAACCAACAACAGGGACCAACGACTGGAATCCACAACAGGATGTATGTGCGATTGATTACAAACAGGAAGCTATCGTTATCTATCTACCCCTCTAGCCTTTAATCCATCGGCGAACTTTTATCACCGCGTCTATCTAAGCCTTCACAGTGACGTCTTCGTCGTACAGCCTTTTCGTCTCCTCCACAAGCCTTTTTATCTTCTGTTTATCTATACTCTGTTTCTCCTATTATAATCCTGAGATGTGATAACCCAGTTCAAGAAGCCCTCCAAGATCCGCTTCGCTTAGCTCCTCCCAAGGGAGGACTTGACTTTTATTAGTGATATCTTTAAGGATGTCTCAGGCTTCATCCCGCTGCAGAGGGCGTATCTTTGCTGAGATAGTCGTGATATCCCCCGATTTCAAGGCCATGCAGGACGGTATTTGGTCTTTATGTCTGTTTACTGTTAGTAACTGTTATTAAGCGATCGCTTGGAACTTACCTTTTGCCATCTTGCGCGATGATGTTTCTTCTTAGGGTGTGTGGCTCAGCGATTAACGTAATTCGATAGGTGTAATGGAACGAGTGTAATTATAAAAAAGCGGCTATTACGGCTGCTCTTATGCTCGTGTACTCGGTTAGTTCAACAGCGTTAAGGTTTACGATTACCGTTAAGGTTATCACTCTACATCATACGTCTGTGTTATTCGCAGCGGCTCAACTAAGCCATTAACGCCGTTAAGGTTTACCATACCGGCGAGGCGTTGACGCGATGGTGAATTGTATGCATGCGGCGAGGGAGCGATTGACAGCGATAGCGATAGCGATAACTTTTTTAACAGGATACAGCGCAGGCAGGGTTGTTAAATAAGTCTTAAGTTTTAAGTCCGAACTTAAGTTAAGTCTAAGTCCAGTGGACTTAAGTCTATAATTTAGTGACTTAACCAAGTCTAAGTCCAGGCCTGGACTTGACTTAGCTAAGTCCAAGTCCGACTTACTGGACTTATAAGTTTACTTAATGGACTTATAAATAGTAACTAGTAATAATTGTAATATAATAAAATGGAATAGAATAGAATAAAATAAAATAAAATAGAATAAAATAGAATAGAATTAAGTCTTATTAATTACTAACTACATTATTAATACATTTTTATTATATTTTAACTATTACTATAACTTTATCTATATAAAACCTTCCTCTTCCCTCCTTTTACCTGTTAAAAATTTAACTGATCTCCTTTTTTATTAGTAGTAACGTTATTACTAAAAACCGAAATAGGCTAGATGTAAATACTGTAAAACAAATAGTACTATTAAAGAGTTGGAAAATAAAGGAGCTGAAGGAGTTAGAGGAAAATTATCGTAATAATGGAAATGAAGAGGAAGAATAAATAGTTTTATTTAGTTTATTTTTTATTACTTAGTAGTTAACTATTTGATTTTATTATTTTATGATTTTATTATATTATTATTTTATGATTTTATTACAATTTTATATTATTATATTATTATATTGATAAAATTGCCTACTATTATTATTATAAGTAATATTTATAATTATTAACTACTTTTTATTAACTGGACTTAAGTCGGACTTGGACTTACTGTAAGTAATTTAAGTCAAGTCTAAGTCCAGCCCCGGACTTGACTTACAATAAGCTAAGTCCAAGTCCATTAAGTTAAGTTAAGTCCAAGTCCAGGCCTGGACTTGACTTAAGTCGACTTATTAACAACCCTGAGCGCAGGGTAAAGCGTTTCTTTTTTTTTATTAGCCAGACTCACTGTCTGTGGATGACCTCGATAAGTATTATAATTAAAGATAAACAACATTTAGTAAAATATTTTAGTTGTAACCCTAAAGGTTTTAAGGTGCTTTAATAACTTTTATAATTAATATTTTAATAATGAAGTTAATAATAATAACCATAATAAGTAAAGGTTTAACTTGAATACTTTAATAACGATTAATAAATATGTTTTCTTTTAACTAATTAGGACTGTAAGTAAAGTAATAATTAAGATACCTTTTTACTTAACAGGTTTTATTAAGAAAAATACTCTGTTTAATGTATATAGTATTTTATTTTTACTAAAGTAGTGTTTTTTATTACAAGTTAATCTTAAAACAATTTAAATTAGTAAATATTATGTTTTAAATAATAATGAATAAATTTTTTTATATATCTATTATATATTTTTTTAATTTCTTTATACTGATTTTTTTTTATCACGGCGCTGGCACAGCTCCTAACATTACCCTACTTCAGCTCCACCTGTATTACCTATAGGAATAACTTTAGGGGCTTAAGCGC